AAGGGTTCTGGATCACGACCACCAACCTACTTTCTTGGATAACGAGAAACTTATCGAACGAGAAACATTCCATTTTGCCGGTAATCTTATGGTCATTGCGTATGTGTAGGAATGTGTTGGCAGCGGATGAGAATCAAAAGAAAGCCTTGTATGTATGATCGATCCAATAAAAATCACAATGATAGACATTGAACATCATCACTTTAACTTTGTAGAGAACGAGAATGGATTAAACCAATTGAACAAATTTTGTGGCATTGCTTACCTAAAGCTAAACGGGGAAATGACACCGAGTGTCGGTGTTTAATAATAATAATCTGTTCTATTTATTTGTCTTGTCGTAAAATTCTGATCGAATACCGTTCGTTATTATTAAAAAGTCATTGAGATCATACGATCTGGAACTCAAGCGTTATCCAATATAATCACGGGAAACTCCTTCACACATGAACTTATTTGGAATGATCTCTTGAATAGGAGTGGGTCTAGCGATCTTTTAAGGTGAATGTTCTTGAAAAGGAGATGTGTCGTGATTTTTCGTTGGCTGCCGAGATAATGTGTATGGTTTCTAACAGAGCACTCGCCGATTGCGATGATGATCTCATGCTGTCAAACTGCCTGACCATTGTTCACAATTACATATATGAGAACGAACTTCGAAGGTATTCCCTATCGTTGGTCAAATTCGGATGAACCCTGCCGATTTAAGTAATGTGATTTTTTCTATGGGTCCCTCTTAGCAAAACATTGATAAATTCAGAGCCGGGGACGCAGCTTTTGAAAAAATTTTTGGAAAAAGCCGAGACGTTTCATGAGGATGAAATTTCCGAAAACTTCAAGCTCATGTGTGTGATTACTTTTTTGTTTTTTTGATCGACAAGGAGAATTTAAAAATTAAAACGCTCACTCTTTCGTTCTTGATAAGATACACTATTGTTTTCCGATTAATCGATTTCGATCTCTTCCCAGCACTCTATGATTCTCTCGATCAACCTTCAAAGTACAGATTGTTTGGGGCATTTCTTGTTTTCACGGCTAACAGAATCATAACCTGTCGAGTTTCCTTTCAGACGCGTACCGACGCAACAACAAATCATCCTACTCAAGTTTCTCGACTCCAAGTTTCATGCAACATCGGATGCATCTAATCCTTGTTCAATTCTCTTGTGCACTTTCCTGTCCAGACTATTTAACGCACTCTGTCCTCAAGCCATTTATTTGATGCGACAGTCAGAATCCACCGATATTTCCGGAGAAGATAAACCCCAAGAAATCGAGGATACGAGATCAACATTTACGGGGTTAGTCTTGCTA